AGACACTTTTAATACTGTACTAATAAACACATTTTAATTTAGGGGCCAAGATTAGTTAACTAGAGACTTGGAAAAAAAGATTCTTGTTTTAAGTAATGGGTTTCAAACAATTCATTTAGGTCTAAAATGAACTGTAACATAGATCTTATTCATGTGGAACTGATTATATTATTTAAGTGTTAAAGGTTTACAATAGTTGTGTGGCATAATTCCAAATAAAGAAATTCTGGGTAGTGGGAAAAGTAGATCTTCGTATGTTAGCAGAGAGAAGTAACTCCCTTTTGAAGTAATCAGTAGAAGGCCTGGATATTTAAACATAGGGGCCTATAAACCAGCCATCCTCAGAGGTGGCAGCCGTTGGCTACTGCCAGGACCTTATTAAGACTGTCACTGTTAATAACAAACTGGTAAAGATTCCTTCCACAGTGGCCCCTCAGAAGGGAGATACTGACTAGTTAAACCACTAGCTACTAGAGAGTAAACAAATAGGGAAGCTAAACAAATAGCTCTCTCTCTCAATGGGAAATGAAGGTTTTTTTTTTTTAACATCATCATTCTTCATTTTATGCATTTTTCCATCTCAGTTGTAATCCCTGGGAAGTGAGGTATTAACCTGTTCTCTTACGCCCTAGAATCTGAAAAGTGACCTTTTTGGGACCCAGGAAGTTGAGATGGAAAGGCAGTCAGGTAATAGATTCAAGAGGGGAGGGGACATGCTATGACCTAGAAAGATAAAAAAAAAAAAGTTTGAGGCACAGCCAATGCCCTGAACTAGTTAGAGAAGCTCAACATCTCTTCTTGGATTATATTTACAAATGTACCCCAGGGCACCAGAAAAAAAATGGTTCTTAGGAAAACAATATTTTTCAAAATCCTCACTATGAAGTCTCCAAGGTATATTCTAAATATATGGTCTGTCCCAAATGTAACTCATAACTCTATGGAATTGCCCATGGCCACTTAAAGTCCATTTTTTCCCCCCAGATGCTACCATTTCAAGGTTACCATTATATATTAGTCATAATGGTATGTTTTCTCATTGAACAGAATATTTGAATGCAGGAGAGCTACAGCACAAATTACAGGAAAAAATTTATCAGAACACATCATCCCAGTCTGTGTGTTCTGCTAAATTACACAGTAAATGAAAAACACTACTTCGCTGTCGCTGGATAAGCAACTAAGAAATTTATAAAATGTGGTCTATTTGTCAACATTTTCATTGTGCATATCACCTCTATTCCTCAGGATTGGTAAAAATGAAAAAACAAAAAACAAAACCCAAAACTCTATAAGCTAACTGTAAAGGACCTTATTTAGTGCTTTTAACAATCTCCTGTGCACCTAAATTACAAGGCATTGACTCTTGTATTCTTATTTCTCATTTAAAGAAAAGAACTTTACCTCTCAAAATCAGCTACACTTTCAAAGAATTCATACCCACCAGGATAAGAAGCACCTGACTGGCAAACAAACACCTAAAAACACGATGATGAAATGAGTGGATTATTTTGTAACTACCAGTTTCACTCTAAACCATGCCATATTTGATATAATACTGGGACTCTTTCAACTTTAAAAACCTTTGGTCTAACTAAACTTGCAAAGATGCAAGCATGGATAATTGTGTGTGCTAGACAGCAGCTCTGAGCTTCCTGTCCAAATAGTATGCTTGGAAACAGATTAGCCAGGAAAGAACAAACTAACAAACCTTACTATCAGGATAATGAATCATTCAAGTCTTGGTTAAGAATAATCAGTACCTTATAATCAGAATTAGAAGGTACAAGTAACTGTAGACCAAGGTAGAAAATGTGTTGTTATGTTACTAAAATAATATGATCACACTTGTACTGGATAACTCAATGGTCAGGATGTCTTTCTGGCTTCTTTCTCTTTCCCATATCCTTGGAAAAATCATGACAACCTTAATTATTGTAACTGATTGTATTTCTTCCTATATTGGTATGTAAATACTATCATTTTCAATCACATCACAATCAAAACTTATAAAATAATGATTACATTATCGATTACATTATTGATTATATTATTGATTCTATGCATAATAAATGGTAAGATGTGTTCTGGCATTGAGGCTAGCATCAGGGACAAAAGTAAATAAACAGCAGGGTTACAAGGCAGGTAGACAGAAACACTGACTGGCTGATAGGCAAATATTTGGGTCAGTGGAGAACAGAGATTATCTACAGGATTTGGCAAATCATCACCTAAATGGCTGTCAGTGCAAAAGATTTCCACCTAGGGGGAAATTGTAAACTAAAAACAACAATTAGAGGGTTACCACTCTGCTTGGTCTCAATAGTGGGTGCAAGGTAAGGTACCAAAGCACAATGGACGAGCCTTGTAAAGAAGCTTTGTCAGCAATAACAAAAAGTTGTGTCTGAGCAAATCAATAATTTCAAATTAAAACAGACAGCTTCATGGCATTGCCAAAACTCCCAGTTTCTAGAAGAGAAGGCCCTAAATAGAGAGAATCTTAGCAACTTTCCTCATGATCCTCAATGGACAGACTTCAAATCCATACATTGATGCCTGACCTTTCTTTGTAAAATTCCTTGAAAATGTAAAATGTCTGCCTTGCTAACTGTCTATAATTCTCCTATGAGGTTCAGCACTGAGACAGTTTCTCCGGAGTGGAGATTGTTCTGGGTTTCCAGTCCTCAGCTGATTCTTAATAAACTGACTTAATTTTTGTTTGCCTCAATTTATTTAAGTCAATGCTTTCAAATACTATCCATGTCTACATATAATTATTTAACATGATGCTAATCAGAAAATGCCGTTATATGATGGCTCCTAACATTGTTAAACAATTGTTGAACAGGCCAACTGGAATAAAAAAACAAACATTGAAGGTGTTAATTTGGGTTTTTAGGATTGTGGCCAGAAAGACACACAGCCAAGCAGCCCTTGGATTCTGCTGGGAGCTGCTTGGGGGTGGGGAGGAAAGTTGGGGTAGTTCACACTCAGGTCATGGTGCCAATTAGACCAGCAGTTAGTCAAGTTCCAACAGGTGCAGTATGTGCAAATTGGATAGCCAAGTGGTGACTGGTTGAGTTTCAGCCCTGGGTGGTCTTGGTGGGCTCTCTTTCTTTTCCTTGCCCTGGCTCGATATGGCTGGATAAGCCTGAGCATGCAGGGACCCCCACATCCAGATTCTGTTTTGGTTTTTATCCAGATTCAAGATTTGTTTATTTATTTTTTTGGTAAATAAACCCACAAATTTTCTTTTTGAGAAGTTTCTTTCGTACCGTCCTTCCCTCCCAAATTTACTACTATAATAGTAACTATATTAACTAGTAACTATATTAACTGTAAACTATAATCCCATTGCACTGAACCCATTATAGTTTCCATAGTCTATGGGCCTCCATGCCCTGTAACTTAAAATTATCTTTTCTTGTGTCAATTATTACAACAGCCAAAATAAACTAAGGGTGGTGGTGATGGGAAGAGTCCGACGTTTTTCACCTTTGGTCTTAAAGGTTTTGCCATGAGGTTGAGAACAACTGAAGGGCAGCAGAGGTGAGGAGGATAGAGTTTTTTGAAAGTAGCTTGTTAGGAACTTAAAGCTTGGAAGCAAGGAGACCATTGAGAAGTGATACAGTAATCCAGGAGAGATAATGGCAGACCAGGGTGGCAGACCAGAGAGACCATGGTCTCTCTGCCATGGAGAGAAGTAGAATTCTGACTAAATTTTGAAGAAAGAGGAAGACAGAAGCAAGTAGGCTTGGGGAGTTCAGGACTGAACAAGCCCGATCTGAGATGCCTTAGCATAC